AGCCTGTGTGAATTGTAGCCTCCATTTCCTGTTCTTAGCTGACAGGAGTGGCACCCAGTGTGGTCTTCGGCTGCTGTAGCCCATCTGCTTCAAGGTGCAAGGTGTTCTGCATTCAGAGATGATATTCTGCATATCTTGGTTGTAACGAGTGGTTATTTGAGTTACTGTTGCCTTTCTGTAATCTCGAACCAGTCTGCCCATTCTCCTCTGACCTCAACAAGGCATGTTCGTCCACACAACTGCCGCTCACTGGATATTTTCTCTTTTTCGGACCATTCTCTGTAAACCCAAGAGATGGTTGTGTGTGAAAATCCTAGTAGATCAGCATTTTGAAATATTCATACTAGCCGTCTGGCCCCAGCAACCATGCCATGTTCAAAGTCATTTAAATACCCGATGCTTGAACTTCAGCAAGTCTTCTTCACCACATCTAGATGCCTAAATGCAATGAGTTGCTGCCGTGTGATTGGCTGATTAGCAATTTGTGTTACCAAGCAAATGAACAGGTGTACCTATATAGACAGGTAGAACTACACATAAGCTGTTTGAAGATAGATAGATAGATAGATAGATAGATAGATAGATAGATAGATAGATAGATAGATTATCTATTTATCTATCTATCTATCTATCTATCATCTATATCTATCTATCTATCTATCTATCTATCTATCTATCTATCTATCTATCTATCTATCTATCTATAAATCTATATCTATCTATCTATCTATCTATCTATCTATCTATCTATCTATCTATCTATCTATCTATCTATCTATCTATCTATCTATCTATCTATCTATCTCTATCTATTTATCTATCTATCTGAGAGAGAGAGAGATAGATAGATAGATAGATAGATAGATAGATAGATAGATAGATAGATAGACATTACATTGATATATAGATAGATCAAGAGTTTTATTTATGGAACCACAATGGCAACCTATGGTCAGCCTTGGCCAGCTTAGCACTTCTGCATTGAAGCATTGAGTTGTATCTAGGCCAGGACCCAGTCTGCATGGAGTTTACATGTTCTGGCTTTGCTTGCATGGATTTCCTATAAGTGCCCTGTTTTCCTCCCACACTCCAAAGACATACATGTTGGATAACTCCCTTATTTCCAAACTGGCCCTAGTATATGTGTAAGTATGTATATACAGTATGTGAGATGAGGTCCTTACATTGTAAGCTCCTTGAGGGCCGGGGGATTATTGTGAATGTACAGTATGTAGAGCGCTAAGTAAATCAGTGGTGTTATATGAACACCTGTAAAAAAAATTTAATTTACTGAAAAGATGAAAAATTCCAATGAATGTCTTTTTGAGCTGTTAGAAAAATGGAAAGTAAATACTTATCAGTTGTTAAGGCGGTTGCACTTTGCAGATTGCATTTTGATTTTTTTTTTAATTGCATATTTCAACACCACAAGATTTAAAGGGGACTATCAGGGGCGGACTGACAACTCATGGGGCCCCCCGGGCAATAGGGGATCATGGGGACCCTGTGTCCCCGCCCACACCCAAAAAAAAGCCTATGAAAAAGCCAATTAAAGGTACCAGGGGCACCTCAAGGGGCCCCCTACTGACCCCGGGCCCTCGGGCAGTGCCCCTGGGGACTATTTATTTTTAAAAAAAATAGTAACCACTGACATCTAAATTATTCTCATTAGAATATTTTAAATGCTTTTCCTTTTTAAGAATTTTTCACCACCAAGGATCAGGATAACACGATAAAATCTCTTCTGTATGCAGGTTGATTTCATTTAGAGGTTTTCTCAGATTTTTTCCCAATTTTTAACTGGAATTTTTGCTAAAAATGTACACCTGTCCATACCTGTAATCGATTATTTTGAGTTGAGGGAAGCTGGACAAGGTGACTTGATTTTTTTTATTTTTTTTTTCAAAATTTTGTTAATTAATTTTTTCTTAGAACCTATTTACATACACAGTTGTGTTCAAAATAATAGCAGTGTGTTGAAAAAAGCGAAGAAAGCTGAAAATCCTTCTAATAGCTTTTATTTCCATCCACACAAATGCATTGGGAACACGACACATTCTATTCCAAATCAAACATGAAGAAAAATAGATCAAATTTGTGGTGTTCCTCTAAAAAAATGGAAGAAAAGTGAATATTAGACGGTTCAAAAAAATCGCAGTGTTTGTATTCTTCTTTACAAACTCAAACATTCACTATATAAACTGAGAAATGTTTTTGAAGATTTTGCTTTCCTTTGAATGACTTCATGAATATTTGGTTGTAGTCGCACTGTTTCTGAGAACTGCTGTACATCTGTGTTGCATGGAGTCACCCAACTTCTGGCCCCTGTGATCAGGTATTCCAGCCCAGGATGATTGGACCACATTCCACAGTTCTTCTCTATTTCTTGGTTTTGCCTCAGAAACGGCATTTTTGATGTCACCCCACAAGTTTTCTATTGGATTAAGATCCGGGGATTGGGCTGGCCACTCCATAACGTCCATCTTGTTGGTCTGGAACCAAGATGTTGCACGTTTACTGGTGTGTTTGGGGTCGTTGTCTTGTTGGAACACCCATTTCAAGGGCATTTCCTCTTCAGCATAAGGCAGCATGACCTCTTCAAGTATTCTGATGTATTCAAACTGATCCATGATCCCTGGTATGCGATAAATAGGCCCAACACCGTAGTATGAGAAACATCCCCATATCATGATGCTTGCACCACCATGCTTCACTGTCTTCACAGTGTACTGTGGCTTGAATTCAGTGTTTGGGGGTCGTCTGACAAACTGTCTCTGCCCACTAGACCCAAAAAGAACAATCTTACTTTCATCAGTCCACAAAATGTTGCGCCATTTCTCTTTAGGCCAGTCAATGTGCTCTTTGGCAGATTGTAACCTCTTCAGCACACGTCTTTTTTCCAACAGTGGGACTTTGCGGGGACTTCTTGTAGATAGCTTGGCTTCACATAGGGTCTTCTAATTGTAACAGTCCTCACAGGGAACGTCACACCTTCTTTCACCTTCCTGGAGCTGATTGTTGGCTGAGTCCGCGCCATTTTGGCTATTCTTCTATCCATTCGAATGGTAGTTTTTCGCTTTCTTCCACGTCTTTCAGGTTTTGGTTGCCCCTTTAAAGCATTTGCAATCATTTTAGCTGAGCAGCCGATCATTTTCTGCACTTCTTTATATGTTTTCCCCTCTCCAATCAACTTTTTAATCAAGGTACGCTGTTCTTCTGAACAATGTCTGGAACGACCCATTTTCCTCAGAATTTCAGAGAGAAATGCACTGTAACCAGCATGTACAACATTTGCTGCCTTCCTTCCTTAAATAAGGGCAATAATTGTCACCTGTTTTTCAAAGAATGAATGACCTCACTAATAGAACTCCACACTGCTATTATTTTGAACATGCCCCTTTCAATGAGTGATTCAATGACACAGAATCAGCAGCATGCATGTCATGACTGTTGGGTCTGTTGGATTTCTATTACTCTATTACACCTGCTAGGAAATTATTTGCCATGTAGAAATATCATTTCTACCAAAAAACAGTGATTGATCCGGTTAGTGATGTCTGACTGCTATTATTTTGAACACAACTGTAGGTGTTTGGAATGACAGGAAGAATCATCGCGATTCTGCCCACGATTTCAAAAAGTGCTGTTAAAATGTGAAATTGTTCATGAGTGTGTTTAGGTGCCATTAATTTCAATGACACCTGAAAAAGCGGGGCGATTTTGCCGCTATTACGTTTTTCACACGACAAATGTGCTGCGATCGCACAAACAAGATGCACTACATGTTCTGATTTTGTTTTGCACACTTGCAACACGTTTGTCATGCGGCAATCGCGGCAATATCGCCACACTTTTTTCACGTGCAATTGAAATGAATAACTCCTGAACACGCTGATGAGCAATTTCACATTTTAACAGCACTTTTTGAATACGTGGGCAGAATCACAGCAATTCTGTCCACGATTTCAAATGCCTATATGTGAACAGCCAATTTTAACAATCTATTGAACAAATTTTGTGTTCATGCTACACTTTGTTTCTAATTTTTCATGCAAGTCCTTTGCATGTACCCTTGGCCACACCTGTAAATGATTATTTTCAGTTGAGGGAAGCTGGACAAGGTGGCATGTTTTTTTCTTTTTTTTTTCAGAATTGTGCTAATTAATTCTTTTATAGATTTTACCACATTTTTTGAAAACATGTTTTGTTCATGCTACGCTTATTTAAAAAATCATAACTAAGAATTTTTGTTCGAATTTCTCACTGTTAGCGGGCTGCAGCATCAGCCGATTTTCGTGCGGCCATCGAATCTCAGTGATTGGGCATATTGGAAATTTTTTGGAAAAGAACAAATTTGTAATCAACGATGGGAGAATCGTGCAAGAAATAAAATCAAAAAAGAAATGAGCATGAACTGTGACCTGGAAAGAAAAGAAGATTCCCAGCCACGTCTTTTTTTTTCTTTAGCAACCGGAAATAAAATTGAAGGCTTGTTGAGTCGAATTTCTAAAACAATGGTGGCACCATTGGATTACGAAACACAAAAAAGTTCCAATTTTTTAAAGAAAATTCATTCAGAATTCAACCCATGTATGGCTTGCATTAGATTGCTCATTTTTCATGCCAGTCCTTCATACAAAAAAGTACACCTGGCCACACCTGTAATATATTATTTTTCAGTTGAGGGAAGCTGGTGTAGTATGTTAGATTAACTCCCAAATAATAATAACTCCCCAGTCATTTTTATATATATAATAATAACTCCCCAAGTTTTGAAGAAGCTAAATGACATAAAAGTTGAAAGTAAGAGCCGGGGCGGACTAACAACTCATGGGGCCCCCGGGCAATAGGGGATTATGGGGCCCCTGTGTCCTTGCCCAAACTCAAAAAAGCCTATGAAAAAGGTACCAGGGGCATCTCATGGGGTCCCCTACTGACCCCGGGCCCTCGGGCAGTGCCCGAGTTTCCAAATGGTCAGTCCGCCCCTGGTAAGAGCTTACATTAATATGCCTTATCTGTTAATATATACGTAAGAGTGTTAACAGGTTTTAATTATTGAAAGTTACCATTAATTATTTGGAGGATCAATTCGTTAAAATGCCAGATTCTTTAAAACGCCAAATTCCAAGTTATAAATGCACTCATTTGTTTAATAATAAACATTTAATTCAAAAATTGTATTTATTTTAGATAACTTAAGCCTTTTTCTGTTTGGGAGTTATTATTACATATATAAAAATGACTGGGGAGTTGTTATTATTACATATATAAAAATGACTGGGGAGTTATTATTACATATATAAAAATGACTGGGGAGTTATTATTACATATATAAAAATGACTGGGGAGTTGTTATTATAATATATATAAAAATGACTGGGGAGTTATTATTACATATATACAAAATGACTGGGGTGTTATTATTACATATATAAAAATGACTGGGGAGTTAATATTACATATATAAAAATGACTGGGAGTTATTATTACATATATAAAAAATGACTGGGGAGTTATTATTACATATATAAAAATGACTGGGGAGTTATTATTACATATATAAAAATGACTGGGGAGTTATTATTATTACATATATAAAAATGACTGGGGTTGTTATTATTACATATATAAAAATGACTGGGGAGTTATTATTACATATATAAAAATGACTGGGGTGTTATTATTACATATATAAAAATGACTGGGGAGTTGTTATTATTACATATATAAAAATACTGGGGTGTAAAAATGATAAAAATGGGGAGTTGTTATTATTACATATATAAAAATGACTGGGGAGTTGTTTATTATTATATATTTGGGGACATATATAAAAAATGACTGGGGATTATTTTTTAAAAATGATTTGTTATTATTACATATATAAAAATGACTGGGGAGTTATTATACATATATAAAAAATGACTGGGGTGTTATTATTACATATATAAAAATGACTGGGGAGTTGTTATTATTACATATATACAAAATGACTGGGGTGTTATATTACATATATAAAAATGACTGGGGAGTTGTTATTATAATATATATAAAAAATGACTGGGGAGTTATTATTACATATATACAAAATGACTGGGGAGTTTTATTACTACATATATAAAAAATGACTGGGGAGTTGTTATTATATATATAAAAAATGACTGGGGAGTTATTATTATTACATATATAAAAATGACTGGGGAGTTGTTATTATTACATATATAAAAATGACTGGGGAGTTGTTATTATTACATATATAAAAATGACTGGGGAGTTATTATTATTACATATATAAAAATGACTGGGGAGTTATTATTACATATATAAAAATGACTGGAGGAGTGATTATTACATATATAAAAATGACTGGGGAGTTGTTATTATTACATATATAAAAATGACTGGGGAGTTTTTATTATTACATATATAAAAATGACTGGGGAGTTATTATTACATATATAAAAATGACTGGGAGTTTTTATTATTACATATATAAAAATGACTGGGGAGTTTTATTATTACATATATAAAAATGACTGGAGAGTTATTATTACATATATAAAAGTGACTGGGGAGTTATTATTATTTGGGAGTTAATATAACATACTGCACTGGACAAAGTGGCATACTTTTTTTTTTTCCAGAATTTAGCAAATTAATTTTTTTTAGATTTTACCAGAATGTTTACAAGTGTTTAGTTTATGCAACACATTGATTTCTCATTTTTCATGCAAGTCTTTTATTAATGGGCACAAAAAATCAATATTTTGCAATATAATAGTGAAAAGTGTAACATAACATAAAAAATATAATTGCCAGCCCTCCTAAATAGGTCTTAAAGTACAGCGATCCCCCACCTACATTAATAAACCATTAATAATAGCAATGTAAAAAAAAAAGGAAGTCAGCTTATTTAATTTAATAAATGTTTGGCAAGGCTGTTTAATAATGTTTTAAAAGTGCCCCGGACTTGTTTTCCCCCTAACATAACACCGCTTGAAAAACACTGTGTCCTTGTAACGGGATTTAATAAACAGCATTTTCTTTCAGGCAACACATTGACGGTATTGTCTTAAAGTCAATTGAAGTTCTTGAGACAGAGACCCTTCCAGCCTTACTGGGGGCATCTTAGACCCTCTCTGTCTTCTGACACAACCTTAGACACAGTAGAACTGGAAGGTCATCACAGCATGTAGGCTACAGCATTAAACAGAGGGGACACCCAATTACTTCAATGACAAAGGACCATTGTCGACGTACTCTTAATATTTTGACGATTAGTTTTGTTTGAAAATATGTTCAAAAGAACACAAGGAGGCTCTTTCATGCCCCGTGTACTTCAAAGCTTGGGAAGTTGGACATTTTACAGAGTAAGGTGAAGCGGTGCGGTGGCACAATAAGACTTTGGAAGACATTTTTACAACCTACGGAATTTTTTCTTTAACAGCTTCATACCAACTCAACAATGGGTTGTTCACGTTACACTTCGAAAGGGAAATTTGTGGAAATTGGTAATATCCATTTGTCAAAAGAAAATACAAACATGATGTTGGGGGGAAGAAACAGTATCATCTTCTGATTGCACGAGTTTGTGGTGAGTGTATGGTCATCAGAAACATACAGTAGTATTGATTAAAGGGCCATTAACCCCTTGCCTACAGGGCACTTATACCCCCTTCCTGCCTACAGGGCACTTATACCCCCTTCCTGCCTACAGGGCACTTATACCCCCTTCCTGCCTACAGGGCACTTACACCCCCTTCCTGCCTACAGGGCACTTATACCCCCTTCCTGCCTACAGGGCACTTATACCCCCTTCCTGCCTACAGGGCACTTATACCCCCTTCCTGCCTACAGGGCACTTATACCCCCTTCCTGCCTACAGGGCACTTACACCCCCTTCCTGCCTACAGGGCACTTCTACCCCCTTCCTGCCTACAGGGCACTTATACCCCCTTCCTGCCTACAGGGCACTTCTACCCCCTTCCTGCCTACAGGGCACTTATACCCCCTTCCTGCCTACAGGGCACTTATACCCCCTTCCTGTCCAGGCCAATTTTCAGCTTTCAGCGCTGTCACACTTTGAATGACAATTGCACGGTCATGCAACACTGTACCCATATGAAATTGTTATCACTTTTTTAAGACAGAGCTTTCTTTTGGTAGTATTTAATTACCTCGGGTTTTTTATTTTTTGCTAAACAAACCAAAAACAACTGAAAATTTTGAAGCAAAAAAGTTTTTTCTTAGTTTTTGTTATAAACTTTTGTAAATAAGTGATTTTTCTCCTTCACTGATGTGCGCTAATGAGGCTGCAGTGATGGGCACTGATAGGATGCACTGATGGGCACTGATAGGTGGCACTGATGGGCACTGATGAGGAGGCACTGGTAGGTGGCACTGATGGGCATTGACAGGCATCACTGACGGGCACTGAAAGGCAGCACTCATATATGGCACTGATAGGCAGCACTGATTAGCGACACTGACTGGCACTGATAGGCAACACTGACTGGCACTGTTATGTAGCACTGACTGGCACTGTTAGGCAGCACTGAAAGGCAGCTCAGGTGGGCACTGATATGTGGCATTGATGTGCACTGGTATGCACTGATATGTGGCATTGATGTGGCACTGATGGGAACTGATAGGTGGCACTGATGGGCACTGATGAGGAGGCACTGGTAGGTGGCACTAATGGGCATTGACAGGCATCACTGATGGGCACTGATAGGCAGCACTGATTAGCGGCACTGACTGGCACTGATAGGCGATACTGACTGGCACTGTTAGGCGGCACTGAAAGGCAGCTCAGGTGGGCACTGGCAGGTGACCCTGCTGGGGCTACACTGATCATCACGGCACACTGATCATGCCCTGATGATCAGTGTAGATGTCCCCTCTGAGGAATGCCAATTACCGGCTCTCCTCTCCTCTGTCAGCGTGACAGCTCTTGAGGAGAGAAGTGCTGATAGCCGGCATTTCTTTATTAACATGTGATCAGCTGTGATTGGACACAGCTGATCACATGACTGAGCCAACGTCTTTGACTTTTTCCGTTGATCAGTGATCCGCTGTGTCCGAGAGACACAGCGCACCACCGATTGCCATGCTGCGAGCCTCCGGAGCCGCGCACGCGCAGTTAGAGTGGGAGGACGTCATATGACGTCCTCCCAGAACGAGAAAACCGCCTTGCGTCCGTCATTACCTTATATGCCGGGTGGGAGGCGGTTAAAGATAGAGCACAAGGTGGCTCGGATATAATTTTTTTTGCAGATACTCACTGAAAGGAATGAGTGAGATTGAGGGGTTAATTTACTAAAGCTGGAGAGTGCAAAAAATCAGGTGCACTTCTGCATGGAAACCAATCCGCTTCCAGGTTTTATTGTCAAAGCTTAATTGAACAAGCTGAGGTTAGAAGCTGATTGGCTCCCATGCACAGCACCAGATTCTGAGGGAACCAGCTTTAGTAAATCTCCCCCTGAGAGTCTTCACTTAAATGAAACAAATGGTAATTTCTGGGAAACATTTTGCTTTTGGTGAAATGATATCAATGCAAAAGGAGGAATTGGGATGTTTTTAGTCTTTCTGTACGGGTTCAGTGGGATTTAACCCTAGGTTCACATCTGTGCGGGTGGTGCCGCTGCGGATCCGCGCAATCTGTGCAGCCGCACCACCCGCACAGAGAAATGCAGACCAGCGGGCGGGTGCCATTAGTTCTAACGGCACGCCGCCCGCACTGGAAAACACAACGGAGGTTCCCGTGCGGGCTGCGTTTCCCAAAGAACTGCAAGGACTTCTTCCTCCGTGTCATGGGCACAGGAGTCCATTCAAATGAATGGGCTCTCATACACGTGCAAAACGCGGTCCGCACAGCCGCATAGATGTGAACCGGGGGTGGTGGTCATTTTTTTCTTACACTTTAAATATGAGCATTTTTTTAAAAAGTATTTTTACATCTAGTCTAAAATGGCAACACTGAAAAAAGATCTTGTGGTGACATTAAAAGAAAATCTAATATCTCCATTTGTAATTGTATATTTTTAGATTGTA